CATTTCAAACAGTGTTCTCCAATTTCTCTCAGCGGTCCCATTTTGATGGGGTGAGTAAGGGGCTGAAGTTTCATGTCTTATGGCATTCTTACTGAGCAGTGACTGGAACTCTTTGGCTGTGAACTCTGTGCCATTATCTGACCTGACACACTTTATTTTCCCATAAGGGGCCACATCAGCAATTAACTTCTCAGGAGCTTTTACAGTATCACTCTTTGCTTTTAGGAAATACACAAAAACTGACCCTGAATAATCATCCGTAAATGCTAGAGTATATCTGAACCCAACTTTCGCCTCTGGCTCAATAGGGCCAGCCAAATCAGTGTGCACAAGCTCAAGAGCCGCTTTTGCCTTTTCATCAGGCTCTCTGTTTCTGCTCTGAACAAATTTTCCCTGTGTGCAGATTTCACAGTTGAGGGTAGATTTGTCAATCTTACCTGTGATTTTCATTCCCTCTGTCACATTTTCTAACTTTGACACATCCTCAAAATTACAGTGGCCAAGAATTTTGTGCCATGTGTGAATGTCATAGCACCCATGACATCCATCATCATTTTCATCACTTACAGTGTTAAGATAGTAAAGTCTATCGTACTCCTCGATGTCAAAAGTGGTACCGTTCTTGTGGATGAGCTTGTTACACCCCTGTCGAAAGTTGACTGAAGCTCCGTTGGCTGTCGCTGCTTTAACAGAGAAAATGTCCTGTGGAAACGACGGCACGTACAGCGCCTTCGTCAGCGTTGTTTTCACCCGACGACCCGTGTTGTCTCTCAGGTAAACCTCCGCTGCACCTCTCCTCTTCGCGACACCATTCGTTCTTGTTCCGTCCGTCAGCCAGCTCCACGGAATGTTTTTCCGGTTTGAAAGTCTCGTCAAACTCCTTAAACTTCCCGATGTCCGTGACTATATGTGACGTTGCTCCCGTATCAACCATCAGCCCTTTCTGTTTCAGTCCACGAACCTGACAGTCACATATTCTGAATGCAAATGTGTGGCCTTCAGCATCTGTTGCTTGTTTCACATTGTCTCTTCTTTTTCATCTGCAATTTGCATCAGTATGAGTGGAGCTCTTGCAAAAACCACACCACTGTCTCCGTTCTCTGCGCTCTCCAGTAACGGTACATTCCCGGGCCTTGTGCCCTTTCTGGCCACAGTTGAAGCAGGTTATCTCGGTCCCTTTATCTCTTCCTCTTGGCCAGCTAACTTTAATGTTACTTGCCTTCATCACGTTGTCGTCAGTGGAAATGGCGCTAAACTTCTCGGTGCTTTCATAGCTCCTCAACTTGGTTTTGAACTTGCCAAAAGTTGTCTGCTCGTCACTCTGCGTTATGTGGATGGCAAACGGCTTAAATGATTCGGGCAAACTTTTCAGAATCATTGCAATCAACAGCCCGTCACTTAAAGTCTCTTCAGCATTCCTCAGTGCTGTAATAGCCGTCTCAGCACGAATGATATAGTCCGCAACACTTTCGTCAGCGGCTTTCTGAAGAGAAGTTAGCTCAGTGTAGAGGTTAATCACACGTGGCTTCCCTTTACCTGCATAATGTTCCCTCAATATCTTCAACGCTTTTCTCCCATCATCTGCTGCTTCTCTCATTATCAGGGAAATACTTTTATCATCCAAAACCTGTATCAATTCGGTGTAGGCTTCTTCATTTTTCTCTCCGTCTTCTTCAACTTCATCCACGCTCAATATGGCGGCCTTTAGCCCTAGCAAACGCAAGTGCCCCAAAAACTTCGTAGTTTTTTTCATCTCCGTCGAAACATAATCTATTCCATCTGCTTCCATGTTCCCTTCTGGGCCCATAACCTGTTGGTGCTGTCATCTTCAGGACAGGAATACCGGTTTACTTAACGGAGGAATAAACACACATGTTCATCGTTGGTGTTTTAACCAGAACGGGGGGAATGCCCCTTTCTTTATTTTCGCACATGCGCAGTTGTACATCTCTCATAGGGCATGACTGTACCAGTGTAAGAACACAATTTAATAACATATTAGTCTATATGTTAACAGAGAGAGCCACAGAAACAGAGCGAGAGAGCCACAGAAACAGAGAGAGAGAGAGAGAGAGACAGAAATGGAGAGAGAAAGAGAGAGACAGAAACAGAGAGAAATAACCACAAAAACAGAGAGAGAGAGAGCGACACAGAAACAGAGAGAGCCACAGATAAAGCCCTTAAATTGAATTGAATTGAGAGAGAGAGAGAGAGAGAGAGAGAGAGAGAGAGAGAGAGAGAGAGAGAGAGAGAGAGAGAAACATAGAGAGAGAGCTACAAAAACAGAGAGAGAGAGAGAGACAGATACAGAGAGAGAGCCACAGAAACAGAGTGAGAGAGACACCGAAACAGAGAGAGAGCCACAGAAACCGAGAGAGAGAGAGAATGTCTTCATTCTTTTGGAATTGCTAAGTGTAATGTTTACTATTAATATTTATTGTTTATTTCACTTTTGTTTGCTATCTACTTCATTTGCTATGGCAATGTTAACATACGTTTCCCATGCCAATAAAGCCTTTAAATTGAAAATTGAATTGAATTGAGAGAGAGAAGAAGAGAGAGAGAGAGAGAAGAGAGAGAGAGAGAGAGAGAGATCGATGAGAGAGAGAGAGAGAGAGAGAGAGCTAGAGAGAGAGGATCAGATAGGAAACATGAGAAAGACTACCCCCAGTTACAGGAGAGCGACACACATAAACAGAGAGAGAGAGAGGACACAGAAACACAGAGAGAGAGAGCGAGACACACAGAAACAGAGAGAGAGAGATACACAGAAAGAGAGAGAGAGATATACACAGAAACCGAGAGAGAGAGATACACAGAAACAGAGAGACAGAGATACACAGAAACAGAGCGAGAGCCACAGAAACAGAGGGAGAGAGAGAGAGAAGAGAGAGAGAGAGAGAGAGAGAGAGAGACACAGACAGAAAGACGTACAGACCAGACAGACAGGACAGACAGACAGAACGCAGACAGACCAGACAAGACAGCACAGACAGACAGACAGACAGACAGACAGACAGACAGAAATAGAGAGAAATAGAGAGACACAGATACAGAGAGAGAGCCACAGAAACACACAGAGAGAGCGTACAGAAACAGAGAGAGAGCCACAGAAACAGAGAGAGAGAGAGACACACAGAAACAGAGAAAGAGACACACAGAAATAGTGTGAGAGAGAGAGACACAGAAACAGAGAGAGACACAGAAACAGGGAGAGACACAGAAACAGAGAGAGAGACACAGAAACCGGGAGAGAGAGAGAATGTCTTTATTATTTTGGAACTGCTGAGTGTAATGTTTACTGTGAATATTTATTGTTTATTTCACTTTTGTTTGCTATCTACTTCACTTGCTTTGGCAATGTTAACATACGTTTCCCATGCCAATAAAGCCCTTAAATTGAAAATTGAAAATTGAATTGAATTGAGAGAGAGAGAGAGAGGAGAGAGAGAGAGAGAGAGAGAGAGAGAGAGAGACTCACAGGTACCGAGAGAGAGAGACACAGATAAACAGAGAGCGAGAGAGACACACAGAAACACAGAGAGAGAGCCACAGAAACAGTGAGAGAGAGCCACAGAAACACACAGAGCGAGAGACACAGAAACGGAGAGAGAAAGACACAGAAACGGAGAGTGAGCCACAGAATCAGAGAGAGAGAGACACACAGAAACAGAGAGAGAGAGATACACAGAAACAGATAGAGAGCCACAGAAACAGAGAGTGTGAGAGAGACAGAAACAGAGAGAAACAGCCACAGAAACATAGAGAGAGAGAGAGAGAGAGAGAGAGAGAGAGAGAGAGAGAGAGAGAGAGAGAGAGAGAGAGACACAGAAACACAGAGACAGAGATACACAGAAACAGAGAGAGACACAAAAACAGAGAGTGAGAAACAGAGAGAGAGACAGAAAGGGAGAGAGAAAGAGACACAGAAACAGAGAGAGAGAGAGAGCGAGAGAGAGAGAGAGGAGAGAGAGAGAGAGAGGAGAGAGAGAGAGAGAGAGAGAGAAGAAACAGAGAAACAGAGAGTGAGAGAGACAGAAACAGAGAGAGATAAACACACACTAGGAGACACAGAGAGAGAAATGTCCATAGCTTGATAATTTCTATTGTAACATTGTGCTTTGGCACTATGTATCAACTTGTCATGCCAATAATACAAATTGAAATTGAATTGAGAGGGTCCTCGCTTTCTGTGTATGGCATTGATGTCAGATCTGATTCTAGAATCACCACAGGAACCACAGGAAGGAAGGAAGAGAGACAATATCTGGGGAATAAAGAGAATGTCTATTATTCCAGATTCCAAAATAAAACATTCTATTTTTAACTTTACTGGCTGTATCAAGTCTTATTGTTACACAAATAGACACTACACACACCCCCAAACCACTTCACAGTATAATTAGTGGCAGGTGTATTGGTGATGATGTGTATAATAATACTTGAATATTGAGCTCACTTACACAAACAAGCATACTCACTGACTCACCCACCTGCCTTTCTGACCCATATAAAATGTGCGCTTTCTCTATAGCTGTACCCCCTCCTCATTCTACTCTCCCTCTCATCTCCACTCCTACGCGGCTCAATCTCAGCGTCACTTACATGCTCTTCTCTTCTATACAACCACCTCTCTCTGCCTGATCCACCTGCCTGCCTGCCTGCCTGTCCCCCAGGCAACTATACTCATCACTCTCTCTCTCAGTCTCTTTATCTCTCTCTCTTCCCTATCCATCTCTCACTCTCTCGCTCCCTCTCTCTAAATATATCCCTCTCTCTCTCTCCACTATCTCCCTCTATTTATAGATTTCCCTCTCCATCTCTCTTTCTCGCTCTCTCTCCATCTCTCCCTCCCTTTTTCCTTCTCTCTCGCTCCCATACACATCTGACACACTTTCTCTTTCTCTATTTCTGCCTCCACTCCTCTCAGCAACCACATTAGTAACCAGTACAGGGAACAGAGAGAGAGGACGACAGCAGTACTGTTACGAACTCCAGAAATGGCCCCTAAAAGAGAACCGTCTATTAAGAAGTCTCCATCGCCTGTGGCCCAGCAGCCCAGACTAGGGCCTCCTTTCCCTTGCCTCCCCTCAGCTAACCCTGCCCAGCCAAGGTCAGCTCCAGAGCAGAAACCCAGGATGCTGCGACCCTCTGATTCTCCATTTGACCCCAGCACCATGGAGGTGAGTGGAGGTGCCTGCCACAGAACCCAACTCTCTGTGTGTGTGTGTGTGTGTGTGTGTGTGTGTGTGTGTGTGTGTGTGTGTGTGTGTGTGTGTGTGTGTGTGTGTGTGTGTGTGTGTGTGTGTGTGTGTGTGCGTGCATGTGTGTGTGTTTCTGTGCACAGCAATGACAGAGCTAATGTGGGACGAAAGCCTAAAATCTAGTCTCTGTTTCAGTGGAAGTCTCTTTGCATGTTTCGACACAGTGCCGAATAACTACTATGACTAATAGGGCATGCTGAAAATAGCCCAATGCTCCCATGTAATAATAGACTGGAAAGTAGGCAGAGCGATAGGCTGTTTCTTGAGATGCAAGCATTCAATCCATTTTGAAATATGCAGTTTATTACTCTTGTTTTGTCCTAGGAAATGTTAAAGGTACAAAGCATCTCAAATTATGTTTCTCAATAGCAAGATGTGCTTCCACAAATCCTCTTCTAAATCCTCTTCCTATTGTTTTATCAGAGACTAATAGGAACCAAACTACCAGTATCATTCTGGGATAAAGATGAGTTGAGAACTAGGGCAATGCTATAGAAGCTGTCTGTGACTGACCTCCTCTGGGAGGGAGTGTGCTTATTTATCTCCGGGAGATACTCAGATATAACCTTGAACCATCCACAACACACATTTACATATTTATATCCTGGGGGGGCTGGAGGTTAGTGAAAGGAGGTTAGCTGGAGGTTTAGAAATGTAAAATCACAGAGACATCACAATTGGTAGGCCTATATTTTTGTTTCATCCACATTAGGCCTGTCACTTTGTCACATGTCCATGGCTTTGCTCTCATCAATGCTTTGTATGTTTCTTTGCAATAGAATTAGTGGTCTGCTGCATGTGTCTGTGTTGCGAGAGTTTATAAAGGGGTCAATATGCCCATAGACTGTAAACACTCCTTGGCACTTTGTCCTCATTGATCAGAGGACTAGACAGGTTGTGGCCTAGTCAATGAGCTAGTCTCAGGACCTAAGGAATCTAACACCATTTCTATAACAGGCCAAAATGAAATGTACATTCAGTGTATAATGTAGCTAGGCCTATGACAGTTTCTAAAAGTTTTACCACAGATGAAAGAGAAAATTAAAAGGGCTAGTTATATAGCTAATCATCTTTGGTTTTACCATGGAAAAGAGCCAGGACAGGGGCCACTCCTACCCTACCCTGCCCTGGCCCCAATCCATGTTTATGCGCACTGCGCAGATGCAGCACAGAGGAGCTATGACGCGCAAGTAAACACTGTGCTAGTACTAGTAGGACTTTTCCTCGCTGACGAACCCTCACATTCCTCCAGCTTCCGACGTCTTCGACACACTCCAACAGCCACAGATATGGTGGGTTCTTCAATAACCTGTATTAACTAACTAGCTATCTACTCGAAATCCTATTCTTATTTCGGAATTGTAGCTATGTCGAATTAGCTAACAGTTCGCTAACTTTACTAGCTAACTAGAAAAGTTAGCCAGTTTAATTGAGCAGAGCCAGCTAGCGTTATCGTCGCTAGTTAGCTAACTGGCTAACGTTAGTTCCTTACTCTCCAGATTAGCAACCCTAACTTCTTGATATATGGTGGCATACCAATACCTAAATCTCGATATAGTTTGCCACTGTCTCCAATCAAATGTCACCCAGATGTTAGTCTTTCTCACTGACTAGTAGCCAGCTAACGTTATTTCCTAGATAAGGCAGGTGTGATAAAGTTGGCTGCCTAGCTAACTAGTTAGCTGAGCTAGCTAGCCACTGGTCCTTGGCAACAGGATTTTACAATATCATAGTAGCTCGCTAACTTTATCTTTCTTTGAACAGTCTGACTTCTCAGAAGACCAAATCATGGGTGAGTTACAAACTGGCTAACTAGATTAGCTAGCTAGCTAATTTCCCCAAACTTGACCAACTATTGCATGTTGCCATCCTCAACTCAGAGACAAATGCCACTTATTTTCTTTCTTGCTTGTCTTACTTTTTCTTTACTATCTATCATCTGCTTTATGCCTTGTCTGTAATTTCTCTATAGTAGCAAAGTTACCACTATTTCCTTACTGCTTGTTCTTTCCAGATTGAGTTTAACCTGGATCAAATACATGGTGAGTTATTGGTGAATGACCCTAACATTTGGCCCTTGAGTCTTGGACCTGAATCTAACAGTGTTTAAGGCATGTTGTTGGTCTGATACAGATGCAGAAGTTTGTGATAGCTAGTCACACCATGGATATTAGGCTACAAGGTGTCACTGGTATATTTTATAACAGACTGAGTCTAGCCTGTTATTTTAGCCCATTGTGTAATGTCTGTTTCCTGTTTGTTTTTCTGTCAGTAGAAAGTCTGTTTATAGCTAGTTTCATCCTCGTTAGCTCAGGTCCAGTATACAAGGTAGTAATAGGCTCCTGGTGTGTTTGTTGGTGCATTTCTATAGACAGGAAATCCACCTTTTGCATACCATAGGTCATCACTCCACTTTCTGTGTTTGCATCAAACTTCATACATTCCCAATTGTCCCATTCCCATGTACCATAAAAGTTTGCATGCTATTTTACTAGCTTGTCATCTCCCCTGGAGTGTTCCCTTTCCTTTTTTGGAGTTAGACACAGACTAGTAGATGAGTCTTCTCCACTCCCTGCCTTGTTTAATCATGGTTGACAGAATACAGCTCTCCCTCCCTCGCTCCTCCATGACCTAATATGGTGTTGGGAAATGGAACTCAGCGGGCCATGAGGGAAGAGGGAGGCACATTCCTGAGAACAGGAAAAAGCACAACAGACAAGTGCTGTGTTTGCCTGGGGTTCTGAAGGGATATCCCATACTCTGCAGGCCAGGGTTGCGGTCAATTCCACTTCAATTCAGTCAATTTGGGAAGTATATGGACACTTTTAATTTAAATGTACTTCCTTTTCAGTTTACTTCCAGATTTCACAGAATTGAACAGGAATTGACCCCTAGTGTGATAAGTGGTCCTAGAATTGAGAGACCACCACCAAGCGGTTACATCATTTCTCCTTCTAGGCCTTTTAGTTGTTTATGGGCCCTTTCTAGTTAGTTCGGCCAGCTTCTTTATAAGACTTTGTTACTACTAATCGACCTGTCTGTTTAAGGATGGTCAGCTAAATCCTTTTTGAGATCAGTCTATCATTGAGATGCTTTGGCATTGTCATTGCTTCTGCATTGTCTGCTATGGATTTCCAGTGTTTTCTATGCCCTACACTAATACTCCGTAGAGACCTGCATGTCTCCTTGGAAGGATTAGATAACATCGCCTGACCTTAAATTACACAGACCTATTTAAGGTCATCAAATATTCAGATGGAAGTAAATGCACAAAGGAGATTACGACATTTGAGAACTTACTGGTGCGAAGACTCAGAAGTGTTGGTTACATAGGAATTAATATCAGATTTTTTCCCTTGTTGATGTTTGAGTCTACAGTGTTAGCCTAATTAGGATAATTTACAAAGCTCATGATAGTAAGTGTAGGCTATGTAGCGGATTAGCATCTTGTGTCTTTTTAGTTTGACTTGTTTGTCATCACTTGTTAATGTGGATGTAGACATTAGTGAACTGGGTGTTGTTCAATTAAAAGGGGAACCTTTGTCATATGTGGCTACGGTGGATAATGTTCTCCAGCCTTGCCAAGGTAATGTCATTCTGCTCAGGTGTTTTCTTCCCCCATCCTACGGGAGCCACCGTACCTACACTACCAGTCAAAAGTTTTAGAACATCTACTAATTCAAGGGTTTTTCTTTATTTTTACAATTTTCTACATTGTAGAATAATAGTGAAGACATCTAAACTATGAAATAACACCTATGGAATCATGTAGTAGCCAAAAAAGTGAACTTATCCCCTCAGCAGAGGTAACTCTGGGTCTTCCTTTCCTGTGGCGGTCCTCATGAGAGCCGGTTTCATCATAGCGCTTGATGGTTTTTGCGACTGCACTTGAATAAACTTTCAAAGTTCTTGAGTTTTTCCTTATTGACTGACCTTCATGTTCTTGCCAAAATATAGACTTGGTTTTGTACCAAATAGGGCTATCTTCTGTATACCCCCCCTACCTTGTCACAACACAACTGATTGGTGCAAACGCCTTAAGAAGGAAATAAATTCCACAAATTAACTTTTAACAAGGCACACCTGTTAATTGAAATGCATTCCAGGTGACTATCTCATGAAGCTGGTTGAGAGAATGCCAAGAGTGTGCAAAGCTGTCATCAAGGCAAAGGGTGGCTATTTGAAGAATCTCAAATATAAAATATATTTTGATTTGTTTAACACTTTTTGCTTACTACATGATTCCATATGTGTTATTTCATAGTTTTGATGTCTTCACTGTTATTCTACAATATAGAAAATAGTAAAAATAAAGATAAACCCTTGAATGAGTAGGTGTTCTAAAACTTTTGACCGGTAATGTATGCTAAACCCGTTGCTTTGCTAGCTCACGAGGATGTTGTAGCTAAAAAACCTGAGTTGTAAACAACCAAGTCTCATTCTTCTACAAACAGTAACGTTATTCTCAAGTTTTCCTTCCATGGCCTGCTTAGGCTATATGCCTGTGATCGAAATCAGCACGGGTAGGCTGCAATTGTTTAAAAAAATATGTAGCCTATTTGACTGATAAACCTTAGCTTACAGGCGAATACATTTTAAACTACATCTTTAGTCTACTTAGCATAGGGAAGATCATAAGAATTCCTCTAATTCCTTTTCTACACACGACCCACGCAATTTCTCTGCTTATTTTTACCAGCATTGCTCCACGTAGACGTGTGAAAAATAGGCTTGCTTTCTAATTTGACGCGCTATGACGCCGTTGACGCTCATGGCCTGTCTATTTTCTCTAACTCATATGCAGTCTATTTCCAGCGTGAGCACACTCGTTCGCTCGCTTAAAAAATAATGCTTTCCGTTTGAATTGGGCTTTAGGCAACCCACTCCACTGTAGTTGGTGCTATCTCATTTTACTTTCCTAAGTGCCACTGTGTTGATCCCACTGGTCAGGTGAAGGGAGACCATGATTCATTCATTAATGGAATAAGCTGATGTTGTGAAACAATGTTCGCGAATGTTTTATTTTAGCTAAAACTACCTGAAGTAATACACACTATCGGTTGTTATCATATTGATTGGTGATTTATTTTTTGTTGCTCTGGCCTGTCTTACATATCCAACCTCTCTCTTGCATTTCCAACTTTTCCCTTTTTCCTCCATCTCCTCCTAACAATTTTCCATCCTCTCCCACACCCACTCATTCTCTCCTCACACTAACCCATATCTCCCTCCCTCCTCTAGAGTTTAAGGAGGCCTTCCTCCTCTTCGACAGAACCGGTGATGGGAAGATCAGTTACAGTCAGTGTGGTGACGTCATGCGGGCATTGGGACAGAACCCCGTCAATGCAGAGGTCCTTAAGGTACTGGGCAACCCCAAGGCTGAGGGTGAGATACAATAAAATCCTGTATAACAGTGTTTCTGTGCCCTAGACATGTCTCAACCAGAACTTGTTTGGACCAGGATTCTTTGAATTTTCACAAACGAAAGCCTTATCCGTTGCCAAAATGCTCTGACCACCTTTGAGCAGCGATCACTTTTGTGCTAAAATGGTTGTGATGTTCAGACCCCTGTGTTCATTCATATCATCAATTCATTAATTTCCTCTGTTTCTACTTGTTCAGAGATGAACCACAAAATGCTTGACTTTGAGCAGTTCCTGCCCATGCTGCAGGCCATCGCTAAAAATAAGGACCAGGGCTCCTTTGAGGATTTCGTTGAGGGGCTGCGTGTCTTTGATAAGGAGGGCAACGGAACCGTAATGGGGGCAGAGCTACGTCACGTCCTCACCACACTAGGTGGGTTACTGGCGCTTCATTCTTTTACTCTCATCCACATCTGAGGAAAGATATTTTAAGAATGTTTTTATTTATTTAATGCAGAATGAAAATCCCTGTTCAAAAGGTAATCTAATTTGGAAGTTGACTCAGAAAATATACATCCAAAATATCGCAAAGATATTCTGTAAAGTCGACACCTGTAATGTGACAATCATTTTTCATTACAGCACAAACATCAAGCCACATTTCAGATTTCAGACAATTACCAATAAGTGTGTTATTTTTAAGTTGAAAACCAATGAGAACACGACTTTTGAACATAACAGTGTAGCTATTGTCAATTTACCGAGGATACTTTACTAATATATTAATTTGTATTTGTATGTCTTTCAGGGGAGAAGATGACAGAGGAGGAGGTAGAGACACTTCTTGCCGGACACGAGGACGCTAATGGCTGTATTAACTATGAAGGTGAGAGGGAGGGAGGAGAAACTGAGAATGAAAGATGGAGATAGAGGATACACCAGGATGTGTTGTTGGGTCTGATTAGGTTAATGTTTTGTAAGTACCCCACCACCCTTACACGACTTCTACTTCTAACCACAACACCCTGGTTATGCAATGATGACCATGCATGTTTCCTTGCTGTGTGGAGAGAGGTAAAGTGCGGAAGTTGTGGCGGGGAGGATTTCTGGGCTACGGTGTGTACAAAATGAAGATACGGATGTTTTAGAGCCAGGGTTTGTTTATGCAGAGATCAATATTGATGGCGAGATCTTGCAGGCAGCAGGTAGCCTAGAGGTTAAGAGCATTGGGCTAGTAACCGAAAGGTGGCTGGTTCGAATCCCTGAGCCGACTAGGTGAAAAATCTTTCGATGTGCCCTTGAGCAAGGCACTTAACCCTCATTCCTCCTGTAAGTCGCTCTGGATAAGAGCATCTGCTAAGTGACTAAAATGTAAATATAAAAATGAGAAGTGCCAATGTTGATGGCTGAATAAGTGGACAGGTTTGTTTTTCTATGACTTTTACCTTTTAAAGCAGTTGGCTGAAGAACTGGACTGAGGTGGTGAAAGTACAAGCGATTACAATCTCCTGTGTCACTGCACAACGATGCAGCTCTAACTGTTTGGTGATGGGAGGACCAGACTGTGAATACAAACCGAATTAGTAACATGCTGTGTAACTGTTCTTCCTCCACAGCGTTTGTCCGTACCATCATGTCTGGCTGAGAGCCGGTATGAGCAGGGCAGCAGATGGTATACTATAGGGCCTACTTGAACAATGGGTTCTTCCCAGGCTCTCCTGCTTAGGCATCCATGCAAAACACACACACACACAAGCTGTTATTTGCCTTATAAATCCATTGTAAATCTTGCAGTGGGATAGCCTGGTGAGAGAGAGCCCTGTTGTGGTGCAGTTTGGACTGGAGGTTTTGACTCATTGGTAGACTCTCCCTGTTCTCTCTTCGACCCTGAGCATGGCTGCTACAGCAGACCCCTCTGCATGTCTGGATATCCCCTCTGTCTAAAGGATTGGGGGAATCTCATTTGTATTCCTCACTTCCTCGGACCTTCTCCTTCAATGCGTTTTGAGGAGGAGAGAGGAAATACAATTGATATTCACCTTATAGAGTGGTAGTTTATACATGCAGAGCATTCTAGCAGGAGTAGTTGTTGTACTACGTGTTGTGTTTGGAGCTGGGCTGGATAATGTAATTGAGCACTTTTTGCAGCACGTTATTACCCACAATGCAATTTTCTCATTTGGGCCTCTCATCACATGAATGCTATGCTGCCACCAAAATAGGCAGTTTGCCTTGGAGTCTCTTTGTGAAAGCCCCTACACGAGAATTAACACTAAATTGACCATTTTAATCAATGTGAGCATATCTTAGCATATTTCCCCCAGCTCTGCCATAACAGACGAGTCACTCCTCCCTGTTACTAACCACAAAATTGCAGTGAATTTGCTATTTTTGCTGGCGATCTCTTCTTCTCTTCTTATGGACACTGATTATAGCTGAGTGCTATTGAGATCTCTGCGGATCCCCCAATCTCGCTGTTCCAATCTCTTCCCCCCCTGATCTGTGCCTCCATAGAGAAAACAAAGGTGGGTTCTCTTCTTTAACGGTCTCTTGGATCCTAGACCAGTCCTCCTGGCCAAATCCATCCACTTTGGCTGAGTAGGAGATGATCTCTCAACCTCTGTCCTACTCCCTCGTCCCCACTCTCCTCTACTCATGGACTTAGAGAAACAAGGGATGTACCTCCTTCAACAGCATCCCATTTATATGGGCTAAAGTAAACAATGTTGAGGTCGAAGAGTTGATTTTCGAAACAAACAGGATGTTGCTGTATTTGGAGTTGATCCCCAATTAGCTGTGAATTGATTCTTATGTTTTTTCCCTTCTCTCTCTTCTTCCCCTCATTCTTTACATCAAAGAACTCGTGCGGATGGTGATGAGCGGTTGAAGATCAAGAAGAACATTCCTTCCTATTCTTAGTTTTTTTGTTTTTACCTTGTTTATTTCTATGACATATTTCCCCTCCTTTTTGCAACTCGTTTCCAGTCCTTTCCTTTCTGCCTGTTTCCTGTATTATCCTATTATATCTTCACGTCTTTTATTTTCAAAAGTGCCTTTACATTCCCAAGTTAAGACCATTAGTGACCCAAGTTATTTTAATGCATCAGCCTGGCCCTTTGGTCCATTGAATTAAGCATGAGACCAACTTGCATGTAATTAGAAGCTTGTGTGCTGCTGGCGTGACCTGCAATAACATTTCAAGATAGATTACTTCATACCAACCTAGCCTGAGTCCAAAATCTGTTTGTGCTGTCTTGGGACCAGGCTACTTAATACCTATCGTTGGACAATAATTATTGTTGATGCAATACATCCACAGGCTTGTCTGTGTCAGTGGGGAGGGATAGTGTTGTGGTGGGTGACCAATGACCTATTATTGGCTAAGACTTAGCCTGGGTCCAATACCTGTTTGTGCTGTCTTGCCAGTTGCCAACTCTGTCAATGGTATGACAATGACAGCAATGGAGTTGTCAAGACAGCACAAAAAGATCTGAGACCAGGCTAGTGAAGACTTGCTTTGGCTGGGAATGTCTCCCTTCCTATTGCTGCCAGCGATATGCAGTTAGTTAACCAATATGTATAAGAAGCCATACAATCATGACAACATAGACATCCATGAGCGGTTCAGTGGATTTGTTTTTTTCTGTTCCTTAATTTGTTGCAGCATTCAAATAAATGATTTTCTGAAAACAGTTGTTTTTGCTTTGTTGTTTTTTCTAACAAAAATTTGAAATTATGTGAGAACATGATTTGACAGGGCGAACATAATACACCTATGAATATTTATTGTATAATGATTGTATTTCCACAAATATCTGTTTTAACTGAATCATTTAGTCTTTTACCTAGTGTTTTGTGCTCAAATGTGTTGCAATATATTAATTGGACACAAGAGGGCAGTGCTGGGTCTTGCAAAAAATACCATTCGTACTCTGCACATCCAAGCAACTTCTACTGTATGTTTTGTGAATGACAGGTTATGCGGTAACCATAAACCCACAATGAAACCATAACAAAACGTAACTAATGAAATGACTACAATTCTAAAGGTCTACTTTTTGTTGAATATTGGCATGAGTTTGCACTGTAGGCAAAGGCATGCTCTAACTCAATGGGAGTAGTTTTCACTTCATATAACATGTTTCTATAGTTACAAAGTTCTCTTGTAACATTTACATTTTAGTCATTTAGCAGACGCTCTTATCCAGAGCGACTTACAGTTAGTGAATGCATACACCAGTGTAATATAATTGTTTTAACACTCTATTAAGAGAGCTTTAATTATGTATTTTACAACCACTTCAATCTCAACCTTTCTTAGCACTGACTGAATTTTATAATTATTGTGTTGAAATTGTACAGTTGTTAATTGATCAGTGTGTGATCCTGTATGACAGTGTTCTGGATTGGAACATGGAACTGTATGACAGTGTTCTGGAACATCCCCAGTAGAATCCTGTATGTTATGTTGCTTAGTTTGCCAATACCGATTCCTCTCCAGCTTCCTTACCTTTTCCTTATTCCCCTCACAACCAGTCAACTATTTCCTCTCATTAGGTACCAAGAGATCTATTGGTTGTGTGCGTGCAAAAGGTAAGGTATCATAGCCCAGGGGTGAATAGGTTGTCCACTAATTACTGAGTGTACGTGCACAGGCCTGTGTTTGTGTTGGATGGAAGTGAAGTGTATTGATTATTTTAATCCTGCTATTTGTGTGTGTGATCCTCGTGGCTCTGCATTCGACAAAGGAACCTCTAATTGCCTGAAACCTGCCTCAAACCCTCTCCACCAATTAATTTTACACTGGAATCTATCTGCCAGGACTACTGGAGAGAGCAAGAGAGGGGGCTGAGCACACAAACACACACACTCTCTTTCGCTCTCTGTATTCTTCTCTCACACATACACACTTTCGCTCTCTCATGCACACGCTCCCTCACACACGTAAAGATCCCCCACTCGCTCCCACAGGCAACAGATTCACCAAAGCCCTTTGAATGCAGAAGGCCATTAACTCTCTCCTTTAATTAAAGGTTTCCCTCTGCTCTCTGCCAATACTACAGGTACTGTAGTATTCAAGAACCAATCAAGGAGGAGACATCGCCCTCTGAATGGCTAAATATTTAAACAGAGAAATGACAATAAAAAGGAGAGGGCAAAGATGACATACAAGCATAAATTAGTTCAACCTCACATTTGAAAATAATGAGAGAAAAAAAATGTTTATCTGTATAAATAGGAGAAATATCACTAGAGAATCCCTGAGATAAATGTCTCAATTAGCCTCGTAATTACCAGACTGATTACCACTGCGTGGCGAACATTCATGTAAGCTCGCGAGATCAGGCTGCTTGTGAGGCTATTTCTCAATGTCAATAATAGTTAGAGCTAAACTAAGCTAATTATTGAAAATTAAGATGGATAATGGAAGATTTATCATTCAGCCGTGTTCAGATTTTTTTACATTGTAAATACAAGATCTCAATTCAATTACAGTATTTAGACACTAACAATTAGTGTGTGGCTCAGTTGGTAGAGCACAGCTCTTGCACCGCCAGGGTCGTAGGGTCTGATTCCCATTGGGGCAACCCATACGAAAATGTTGCACGCATGACTGTAAATCGCTTTGTATAAAAGCATATGCTAAATATAAACACACAATTAAATCATTTAGAGAGTAACAATGATAGTTTCAACTAAAATCTCCATGCATATAATTCATGTATATGTTCATTTCCCATCATTACCAGGCTTACATATTGATTTATTGTCTGAGAAAGTGACAAGCATGGGACTGACTATTGATACAAATCCAGTTCAATAATCTGCTTCTAATGGTGTACATTTAAACTCTAACTAATCATGCCTTTTACATGACACGTTAAGCACAGAAAAGATCACCTCAAATATAATGTATTGACATGTTGTTTTGATTTACCATGCTACAATTCCATAGGTTCTCCATAAATGTGTGGAGAGTAATGTAGCTTATTCATCCTTATCATAATTATTTAGGAAGCATTTAAGTAACGTCCTAGATTTACAGAAGGTTATACGTGCATTTAAGTAACGTCCTAGATTTACAGACGGTTATACGTGCATTTAAGTAACGTCCTAGATTTACAGAAGGTTATACGTGCATTTAAGTAACGTCCTAGATTTACAGAAGGTTATACGTGCATTTAAGTAACGTCCTAGATTTACAGAAGGTTATACGTGCATTTAAGTAACGTCCTAGATTTACAGAAAGTTATACGTGCATTTAAGTAACGTCCTAGATTTACAGAAGGTTATACGTGCATTTAAGTAACGTCCTAGATTTACAGAAGTTTATACGTGCATTTAAGTAACGTCCTAGATTTACAGAAGGTTATACGTGCATTTAAGTAACGTCCTAGATTTACAGACGGTTATACGTGCAGTTAAGTAACGTCCTAGATTTACAGAAGGTTATACGTGGTTTGTTACTACAGGTTATAAGTGTTGTTACAGGTCATAAGGATGACAATAGAGCTTCATGGAGCTTTAAATCCACATGCCTTAAATACCTGATACTTTTAAACCAACATTACACTTCATGTCCATTTAGTACTGTCAAGAAAGATATGCTTGCAATTTTAAAAGATTTTGTAGAGCAGGGTGTATTATCTACAACACAGGTCAATATATTAATGTTTCATTGTAAGGCAGTGTCTTAACTAGACATATTGGAAATCCATGGAGGAAAGGTTGATCTGAGGCAGTGGCCAGCTGTTGGGAGTTTGATACCAATCCTATCTCTCTCACATACACCCACACACACAGCCATACTGCTCACATGTCATATTTCCAATTCCACACAGACAGTTCAAGCACCAAGCAGTCACTCCAAATGAATGTAACTTTGTTTGTGTGTGTTTGTGCATATATGTGCTGTTTATTTATCCTGTTAAATAGTAGGCTACAACACAGTCTCCAGTCCATTTACAGTAGCTGGTGAATGTCATCCCAGGAATCCAAACCAGACATGTAAGAAGAGTGAAGTGAACAGCAGTGTTGCTGTTATAGATATTTTAATAGCAATTCTGTATACAACTTGGAAGCAACATCTTGTCAGGCTTTCATCCCAACGGTACAGAGAGTAGAGTAGTGTTTATACACATCAGATTGTTTTACATAATACTGAAAACTCATGTTAGCTCCCAAAGGTAACGCCTCAGGCTTTAGCTCAGTGGGCTAACACGATCTTGCATCACACACTCAAAATCCGGCTTTAATAACCAGTTTGTCTCACTCAGAATATGGAATGGGTAGGACTGATGATCTTGGTTTTACTGTATGGACAGTTCACAATGTAAGCAGAAGAGACATGGAATATGCTGTATATTTCAATGTACCAAGTGTTAGTGCACCTGTACTGGCCCGATTTCCCTATAGTGATGGAATTTAGGCTTACGAGTGTTTTAGAGATGCATCTTTCCTACAACAGCTGAAGATGTAACATACGTTTCCCAAAACACAACACCGAGAAAACGTTATCTGTCTGTCGTTGAGGCGTGTGTCGATACTAATAGGATCGAAATAAATTAAACGCTGGTCTCGGATCAGCTTTCGCCATTCAAATCTTACCTCGATGTTAGAATTATTCCACAATACTGACGACGGATCAGCTCCTAGAAAGATATTATCACCTATGGCTGCAAATATTGAGGTGGCTTATTCTAATGCTTACTCTATAATAATGCACTAAATCAAGATTTGGCACATCATTGAGCATGTTAGGCTACACATCATTAACTATATTGAGACAAATTACAGACAGTACCCTACAGTAGATAAATATAACTACATTGATCGAACATTAAATGTATTTCAATATGATTGAAATAGGCCTATAGCCTAATGTATCTATATTTTAATGGAGTCATCTCAGTTTTAATTTGAAGCATATTTTTATACATCGCTTGTTTGTATCAATTGCAAAGGCATTGGCAACTTTGTATTTGTAGTGTTCGGAAGTTATCGGCGGATAAACCATGTGATTCTATGTTTAGCAGAGATCTTCTGTGTATAAAATTATATGCTGGAGGGCAAAAGCATCTAAACTTAGCTTTGTTTGAGTGGTCTGGCAGGCCATAGATTACGATCGTTTTCACAAGCAATGTTAATAACAATGGTTTTAGTTAACAGCTTGGAGATTTTATGACGTTCCTTCTAAGGTTTTAACGATGAATTTAGCCTTAAGATGCTTTAGGAATACCGGGCCCTGTACATTTTCTGATATCCTTACTTGCACACACTCGGAAATGTAAACACACAGGAAGGGTTAAGAAATTAACTTGGTTATGATGATTGCTTCAATAACACACAACTCTCTCATCACACACCCATAAAACACTTCTTCATTCGTAAAACCACACGCTCACTCACTCCAGTCCTTTGTGTTTGTTGCCATTTCAGTGTGTGTGTACTGTATGTGTGTGTATTTTGTGTGTGTTCGTGCATGCTAGTGGTGAGTTTGTATTCCACTCCTCTCCTTCCATTCTCCCTCAGCCTCTTGGTGTGATGGTTATAGAAGGTCAACCATCTGTGCTTAAACAGATGGGTTTACTTTGAATGCTGTCTTCATTTTATTTAGTTATCCGTTTTTCTTATGTCCTTCCTCGTTCGGTGTTTTTATAACTGAAAATCAATAAGCAATTGATCATTAAAAAGAATACTATAACAGTGAAGCTGTTCCGTCCTAGATTATGAACAACTATCACGACTCAGGATATGACCCAGATGCAGACACAGGAGGCGGATAGTACAGTTCTCAATAATAATTTATTAGAACACGGGGCAGGCAAAGGGTAGGTCGAGAAACAGAAGACAAATGACAGTGAGACACAGGTTTTATATTGGACACATGAAACGTAGGATGGATACGGAGGGTGCGGGGCAACAGAAGACGAACAGCAGAGGGGCTAAGGATTTTAGAGATGGGGAAAGGGCAGATGAAACGGGGGGAAAGTTTATGGGACTCCACCCGGAGGGGCAGGTCCCGAGTGGAAAGCCATACCCTCTGCCCGAGCCGATAGTGGGGAACAGGGGTCCGGTGGCAATCCGCTTGTCGCCGATACCTGGATGTGGTCTTCAAAAGAGGAGCACGGGCTCTCTTCCAGGTACGGCGACAGTGGCGGATGAACATATGGGCAGAGGGTATGCTGACTAATTCCTCTTGCTCAGGGAAGAGCAGGGGCTGATATCCCAAGGAACACTTGAAGGGCGAGAGACCAGTGGCCGAGCAGGGAAGGGTGATACGGGTGTATTCCACCCACACAACTTGCTGGCTCCAGGTGGTGGGGTTGGCGGAGACGAGGCAACGAAGGGCCGTTTCCAGGTCCTGATTGGCTCGCTACGACTGGCCGTTAGATTGGGGGTGGAAACCAGAGGACAGGCTGGCCGACGACCCAATGATGGTGCAGAACACCTTCCAGAACCGGGACGAGAACTGGGGACCACGATCGGAGACCATGTCGACCGGAAGTCCATGGATCCGAAAGAGCTGAGCCGTCTCCTTGGCTGAGGGTAACTTGGGAAGGGGAATAAAATGGGTGGCTTTAGAAAACCTATCCACCACCATCAGGATAGTAGTGTTGCCGTCTGATGGGGGAAGCCCAGTAACAAAGTCCAGGGATATATGGGACCAGGGGCAGTGAGGAACAAGGAGTGGTTGAAGAAGGCCAGCCGGAGCATGCCGTGGAGTCTTATTTTGTGCACACATCGTGTAGGCGACGACTAATGCAGAGACATCCGGAACCATGGAAGGCCACCAAAAGCGTCGTCGGACGAAAGCCAGGGACCGACGGGAGCCTGGATGGCAGGTTAGTCTTCAGGAATGTGCCCATTCCAGGACCGGTGAACAGGCAGAGTCCGGGTTCCGGTGGGTTCCGGCTGGGAACGCTGCGCCTTACGGACCAGGCTCTCTATACCCCAGACGGCTGCAGCCACTAGACAGGAGGTAGGGAGGATGGTCTCGGGGTCAGACGGAGTAGCAGCAGGGCAATACAACCATGAAAGTGCGTCAGGTTTCACATTCTTGGACCCCGGGCGGTAGGAGAGAGTGAAATTGCGTTGAGGCGCTTGGCGGTGCGGAGATATTCCAGGTTCTTATGGTCAGTCCACACTAAGAATGGGTGTTCCGCCCCCTCCAAACAGTGCCTCCACTCCTCCAACGCCATCTTGATGGCGAGGAGTTCTCGATTTCCCACATCATAGTTCCTCTCTGCAGGGGTAAGACGATGGGAGATGAAAGCGTAGGGGTGCAGCTTTTGGTCCTGGGCAGAACTCTGGGACAGGACAGCAGGGTTCTCGGGACACTGGGGTCAATGGTGTAGTTGTATGGTCGATGCGGAGGGAGAGACATAGCGCAGGCCTTGTTGAAGACCTCTCGGAGGTCCAGGTACTCCGCAGGAATGGCGGAGAGATTCGAGGCTTCTCTAAAGCCTGCAGAAGATGTCCCGGAGCAGGCTGAGCCGACTTAAGACAATGAGCATGGCAGAACAGGCTCCAACCCACGATTGAACCAGTAGCCCAGTCGATCAGGGGATTGTGCTTCTGGAGCCATGAATATCTCAAAACCACGGGTACATGGGGAGATTCTATGAGCAGGAACTGCATACACTCACTGTGATTTCCTGATACTCGTAGGTCGATAGGAATCGTATTGTGGGTGACTCTGCCAATAGAGCGCCCATCCAGCGCTCTGATGTCCATGGGAATGGAGAGGGGTTGAGTGGAGATACTCAGATCCGACACCAAGGTAGCATCGATAAAGCTCTCATTGGCCCCAGAGTCAATGAGCACCCGGAGTGATTTAGCCTAGTCAACCCACAACAGGGTGGCATGGAGATGGGTGAGAGTAATGGGAGATTGGGAAATCCCTGTACGGCTCAACAGAGTACTCATACCTACTGATGAGCCTGGTCTTTTTAATGGACAAGTGGAAATATAATGTCCTGTAGTCCCACAATACAGACAGCTCCTGGTGTTCAGTCTGCGTAAACTTCAGGGGTTACCGGGATTCCTCGGAGGTGAGGTGGGAATCGAGGGCGAGCGAGGGCGACAGGGAACAGATTCCCTCTCCCTCCTATGTTCTCGTAGCCGCCCATCGATCCGTATGGTCAAGGCTACGAGGGAGTCGAGGTCCATGGGCAGCTCCCAGGCTGCGAGCTCATCCTTGATCACCTCCGATAATCCGTGAAGGAACATGTCGAACAATGCTTCCGGGTTCCAGGCACTCTCAGCCGCCAATGTGCGAAAATCCACTGCGTAGTCTGCCACACTACGGGAGTCTTGACGTAGCTGGAGCAGTTTACGAACAGCCTCTCTCCCGGACAACGGAGAATCGAACACCTTCTGTACTTCCGCCACAAAATCCTCCAGACTGAGGCAGACGGCGGACTGTTGCTCCCACACTGCCATAGCCCAGGCGAGTTCCCTCCCGGACATCAGCGTTATGAGGTATGCTATCCTGGAGCGGTCTGAGGGGAACGAAGAAGGCTGCAGCTCGAAGATGAGGGAGCACTAAGAGAGAAAGGGCCGGCAGGTTCCAGAATCTCCAGCGTAGCGCTCCGGAGGAGGTAAGCGGGGTTTTCAGGACACTGGGGTAGGCTGGGAAGAAGCACCGCTGGTGGCAGGGTTGCTGAGAGTCTGGGGAATTACTGGTGTGGCTTGCTGCCTTGTAGGGAATCTACGGAATTGCTCCAGCAATATATATCGAACGCATGGTCATGGCGTTCTGCCAGGGTATGGAGTCCCTCCATAAGGCATTGCAGTAACTCCTCATGTCTTCCAATGGGGGCTCCTTGCTGGGAGACAGCATTGTGGAGCTGGTCTGAGTCTGCTGGGTCAGTCAGGGCCAGTTCGTACTATCAAGACTCAGGATATGACCCAGATGCAGACACAGGAGGCGGATAGAACACGGGGCAGGCAAAGGGCAGGTCGAGGACTGGCAGAGGTTCGTAATCAGGTCAGAGTCAGGCAGGTACAGGATGGCAGGCAGGCTCGGGGTCTGGGCAGGCAGAGGTTTGTAATCAGGTCTGAGTCAGGCAGGTACAGGACGGCAGGCAGGCTCGGGGTCAGGCCAGACAGAATGGTCAGAACCGGGAAAACTAGGACATTAAGAAACAGGAAAACGGGAAAGCACGCTAGTAAGACCTGACAAGACAAGACAAACTGGCAACAGACAAACAGAGAACACAGGTATAAATGCACAGGGGATAATGGGGAAGATGGGCGACACCTGGAGGGGGGTGGAGACAAGCACAAAGACAGGTGAAACCGATCAGGGTGTGACAACAACAGGGATCATACTGTACTTTGAACCAACAGGGGAATTTATTTTGAAACAGTGGGGGACTTTTATTTTGAAACAGCAGGGGACTGTTATTTTTTAAACAGCTGGGGGATGTTATTGGGAGCTATCCAAGCGATCTTAGACTGAACTGTCCACTGGGTTAGAGGGGGGTGAAATGTAGTGAAGTTGAGAACTTTGGAAAACTGTGATGGCTCCCGGAGCTAATGCCTTGGCTCTAGCTCAGTGTGCTAACCTGGTCTTGATTCACACACTCACAACCTTGGTCACGCTCTAAATGCTGAATGCATGGATAGGACTGTATGTACAACTCACAATGTTAGTAGACGGAACATATGGCATATGCTGTATATTTCTCAATGCAACCTTATGCACCTATTCTGTACATGTTGTGATATCCATATTTTCACACACACAAGGGGTCAATAAATGCACTTGGTCATGATTGGCTTAATAACACTCAACACACCCATGAAACACTTCTTCATTTGAAAAACCCTACACTCATGTCCTTTCATCCGTTCAGTGTGTTTGTGGGTGGGATTATCATAAAGCAGGGACAGTCAATCAGGGTCAGTCGGGGTAGATGAGGAACCCAGAGAAGGTGCTGTATTTGTTGGTGTTTCCTCCATGGACCTTCCCCCCGTCCAGCTGTACACACACCTCGTCCCCCACGTCTAGATGCAGGATCACACTGTTGGACGCATAGTCGTAGTTCTGGTCCGCATCCTGGGCAATGGCACTGGCCTTCACCTGTTATACACACACACACGTGTGCACATACAGAGGGGAAGACAGAGGGACAGTTAGGGGAAGGACAGAACAGACAGAGCAAATGTCATGGATTGAAATAGAGTTAAAACCATCAAGGTTATAACTTTAAGATAGGCAATTGTAATAGTAACTTAATTCATACACGTGTATCTACGTGTCCACATGAGTAAACCCAATTAAATGTGTTAACAAACAAGTAATGATCCACTGCCTGCGGGTCAATACAGACTGAGCTCCCCAACAGCATGCAAATGAGAATCTGTCTGAGGCTCAGGCTGGGCCTGTGACAGCAGATGCGCCCTAAATGGCACTCTATTCCCTGCACACATTTTGACCACAGTTCTACTTGCCCTGATCAAATGCTGTGCACTATAAAGGGAATAGGTTGCCATTTGAGATGCAGACAGCCAGTCAATACCATGCATATTGAGCTCTGCATCTAGCACTAGGCTAGCATCATAAAGCAACAGGGCCCTGTTTCCCAAAAGCATCTTAAGGCTAAGTTCATTGTTAAAACCGTCGTAGGAGCATCGTAAAATCTCCGAGCTGTTTCCCAAACCATCGTTATTAACGTTGCACGTGAAAACGCTCGGAATCTAACGCCTTCCTCAGACCACTCGTAGAGCAGCTAAGTGCGTCGTTAGATGCTTTTTTGCCCTCCCACGTCACTTGATACACAGAAGATCTCCACTAAACATATAATCACATGGTTTATCTGCCTCTCTGTAACCACTGATAACTTCAGAACAAAGTTGACTACAAACACAAAGTTGCCCATGTCTTTCAATTTATATATTTTTTAAATGCTTCAAATTAAAACTGAGATGACTGCATTAAAATATAAATACAGTAGGCTATAGGTCTATTTCAATTATATTGAAATACATTTAATGTTCAATCAATTGAGTTCTATTTTGCTACTTGTTGGCTACTGTCTGTAGGCTCATTTATCTCAATATATTTCATGATGTATGGCCTAACATGCGCAATGATGTGCTAAATCTTGATTTAGTGTATTATTATAGGGTAAGGGTTAGAATCAGGCCCCCAGTGTCCGGTTTGGAGCGTGAAGTCACGAGTTCTGTTGGTCGGCTACTGTGTAGCAACCTAGCGGTGCCAAAACCCTGGTCTGCACTAGAAAGGGGCCTAAGGGGGTGTGGTGTGCTCATAAATTTACTCTCTCAGGCAGGAAGAAAACGACTACTTTGAACATGATCCTTTGCTAGTTACGGCCACTTTCACCATGATCCTTAGCAATTTTTTGGTGCCATTCAGCCCCATTCAGAAATATGGCGCCCTTCAAATTCAAATACTTCTGGCTTCATTGCGCCATCGGGAGTTTTTCATAGGAATCCGTGGATGATGTCAGCACTATCACTATCTACTGGTTTTAATGTCTGTGGTTAGAATAAGCCGCCTCAATATTTGCAGCCATAGGTGATAATATCTTTCTAGGAGCTGATCCGTCGTCAGTATTGTGGAACAATTCTAATGTTAAGGTAAGATTTGAATGGAGAAAGCTGATCCGAGAGCAGCGTTGCCTTTCTTTCGATCCTATCAGTATCGACACACGTTCTCTCTGCGCAGTGTTTTGGGAAACGTATGTTACACCTTCGGCCATTGTAGGGAAGATGTATCGTTAAAACCCTTGTAAGCCTAAGTTCCATCGGGAAACCGGGGCCAGGTCAATAGCTGGTGGTGGAAGATACTGTTTCTGTTTCTGGATCTGACTGCCTGACTGGCTGACTTCCATCCCCATAGACTACCCATCGTCCCATGTGAACCGCTTCTTCATCTATTCTACACTTGCCAATCAGCCTTCTGCTTCATTACATATGCCTGAGAGCCCCATACACAGCTACAGCTGCTCTCTGATGATCAATAAGAGTGTGTGTGATCAGCTCTACTTCTCTTATGGTGCTTTTTTATTTATTTGTATTTATTAGGGATCCCCATTAGCAAGGCAGCAGCTACTCTTCCTGGGGTTCAAACATATTAAAGCACTTACATTACATATAAAACAAAATATAAAACAGTACATCATATGACATTATTACACCACTTCCTATCTACAATACAACATGTTTAATACCACCATACAACAATATCACAATGTGTGCGTATGCATGTGTCTGTATCCTTGTGTGTGTCTCTTCACAGTCCCTGGTGTTCCATAAGGTGTATTTATACCTGTTTTTTAAAATCTGATTCTACTGCTTGCATCAGTTACCTGATGTGGAATAGAGTTCCATGTAGTCATGGCTCTATGTAGTACTGTGTGCCTCCCATAGTCTGTTCTGGACTTGGGGACTGTGAAGAGAGCTCTGGTGGCATGTCTTTTGGGGTATGCATGGGTTTGCGAGCTGTGTGATACACATTTCTGTTCTCTGCAAGTTCATGGACAATAAAGTACATCTTATCTTATAATCACAGTCTTAAAAAAAGAGAGGAGTGAGTGTATAAGATTTATATCTCAACTCAGTAGACATATGTCTGTCTGGCATCAGTGGATCTATCAGGCTCCATGTCCAGGCAGCCACAGCACTGAGCACAGACCACTCAATCTCTGTCAGCTCTCCAGACAACCGACGCACATCTCCAAGACACCACACAACACGAGAGGCTCAGAATATGATCTGCAGCTCAACTAACATCATGACTCTCAATCCCATCACTTTACTGTGTCATTGGTAACACTTTACTTAAGGCTGACAGGTATAATAATGCTTTATAAGCACGTGTGAGCCTTTATGTCCTTCTCTCCAACAAGGTGCATTATGATATCTATATGCTAAACTTAGAAAAAAAGGTGATATCTAGAACCTTCATCTTCTCTTTGAAGAACCCTTTTTGGCTGCAGGTAGAACCATTTTGGGTTCCATGTAGAACACTTTCTACAGAGGGTTCTACATGGAACCCAAAAGGGTTCAACCTGGAACCCAAAAGGGTTCTACCTGGAACCAAAAATGGTTCTCCTATGGGGACAGCTAAATAACCCTTTTTTCTAAGAGTGTACATACCTGGCTAATCATTAGTAAGTAAGCCTTGTCTGAGCCAGAATGGCCCATAGTGCCTTACCCCTTACTCCATCTCCTTAATGCCGAGTGCCAAACAGAGAGGCATTGGGTCCCATTTTTAGTCTTTATTATGACCGGGGATTCAACCCCCAACCTTCCAATCTCAGGGCGGACACTGAGAAGAGAACACTGATTATTGGCTCCACATTCTGTATAAGTCATACTCAACAGACATTTACATCATTTAGCAGACACTCTTATCCAGAGCAACTAGGGTTAAGTGCCTTGCTCAAGGGCACGATCAACAGATTTTTCACCTAGTCAGCTTGGGGATTCAAACCAGCAAACTTTCAGTTACTGGCCCAACACTCCTAACCGCTAGGCTACCTGCAGACCATATCGTCTGAATTGAGACGAGCTTGTTTGTAAGTTTGAATGTTTTTTTTTACACCATCTATGCTCAGTGGGCAGTCAGAGGGATAGGTAGAGGGATATCATAAAGGAAGGATAGTCCTACAGTGAGCCAGGGCAATGGAGGACGAAAGAAAAAGAACATGACAGAGACGTACCACTTAGAAAACATGACAGTAAAAGGATGGCAAAAGAAGACACGGTGGTTGACATAAAGAGAGAAAGAAATCAGGGAATGAGGAGAGGAAGATAGATGTGTGGGCTGAGGGACGAGGCAACAGGGAGACGGGCGGTGTGAGGGCCAGACTGAGATCACACCACAAGACAGATGTATAGACAAGACATGCAACATGTCATGATGGCCAGACAAGTGAACAAGGCATTAGAGAGAGAAAAAGAGAATGGGTCTAGACCAGGGCTCTCCAACCCTGTTCCTGGAGAGCTACCGTCCTAATCTAGCACACCTCATTCTAATAATTAGCTGGTTGATAAACTGAATCAGGTTAGTTACAACTGGGGTTGGAGCGAAAACCTACAGGAGGGTAGCTGTCCAGGAGCAGGGTTGGAGACCCCTGGTCTAGACGTTGTATTCGTGTACTAAATATCGATGTCTGTTTGAGTTACGTGAAATCAGTATACTCATTAATTAATCCAGAGACTGTCATGTGATGTGATTCCTCCAGGGGATATTTCCCATGTTAACTCCACCTGTATGTGTCTGTGTTTGTGGTAGTTTTCCTCATTGCTGTTAGGGGACATGACATGTGGTTGGAGCTACAGGTTATGGTGGTGACATGGTGGTGACATAGTGACAGCAGTTTTTCCCCTGCCCTTGCCATCAATGGTCTTGCCTATACTAATGCAGCCATGCTTTAGAATATATCACGGAGGGGTTATACTGTATGTCATGCTATACTTCTTAAGCGCAACATCTCCCCTAACCCCTCATTAACTTTGTGGTGGTGCTTTCATTAATCGATTAATTTATAGTCCCACGCTGACGATCTGTACATTATCTGGAAATAATGGGGGCGAAGTGGTGGGGACCTCAATACAATGTGCAATATGGACATGCTGCCATTATTCCCTTTGATTTAATCTATCCCTGGGTCTTTCTTATCTTTAATCCCATAATCTTTTAATAGATCACCTGAAAGGTCAAGCGATTTCATACGGCCGTGTTAAAATGTCAGTCACCTGGCCCACTCTGTAATGACCAGCACCTGTATTAACTCTAAGTGACATGGGTTGCTTCCCAAATGGCATCTTATTCCCTACATAGAGCACTACTTTTGACCAGAGCCCTAATGGACTCTGGTCAAAAGAAGTGCACTAAATAGGGAATAGGATGCCATTTGGGAAGCAACCCATGTCACTTAGAGTTAATACAGGTGCTGGTCATTACAGAGTGGGCCAGGTGACTGACATTTTAACACGGCCGTATGAAATCGCATTTTGTCTGTCATAGTTGACGTGTACCTATGATGAAAATTACAGGCCTCTCTCATCTTTTTAAGTGGGAGAACTTGCACAATTGGTGGCTGACTAAATACTTTTTTTCCCCATTGTAAATGTGGACAGTTCTTCCAATATCTTCAATATGCACCTAGGAAAAGCAGTTGCGTCCCCGATGTGTCTGTCTTCACTTGTAGCCTGTGAGAAAAACCCGATCACGTGATGGAGCGCACAGCACTCAGGGAGAAGGGCACAACGGCCACTGGCCGCAAAAGGCATGGATTTCTTTAGGATGCATTACGGCCACACAAAGGGGATGCCGCCGTGAAATTCTAGGCATGATCAAGTGCTTGTCAAATTGTGAATGAGTGACTGATGTAGTGTGTACAGACTGCGCAAAAAAACAGGTGAAGCTGGTTGAGAGAATGCCAAGAGTGTGCAAAGCTGTCATCAAGGCAAACGGTGGCTACTTTGAAGAATCTCAAATATAAAATATAGTTTGATTTATTTAACACTTTTTTGGTTACTACATGATTCCATATGTGTTATTTCATAGTTTTGATGTCTTCACTATTATTCTACAATGTAAAAAATAGTAAAAATAAAGAATAACCCTGGAATGAGTAAGTGTGTCCAAACTTTTGACTGGTACTATATATATATATATATATATATATATATATATATATATATATATATATATATATATATATATATATATATATATATTAACAAAAACATATATGGGGGATTGGAAATTATGCAGACAATTGCATTGATGGAAACTACAATCTTTCTGCAATATTTAAGCTGATCTACCCCCCCCCCCCCCCCCCCCCCCCCAAAAAAAAAAATATATATATACTTCTCAAGGATGATCAATGGAAACAGGATGCACCTGAGCTCAATTTTGAGTCTCATAGCAAAGGGTCTGAATACTTATTTAAATAAGTATTTATGTTTTTTATTTTTAATACATTTGCTGAAATTTCTAAAAACCTGTTTTCACTTTGTCATTATGGGGTATCGTGTGTAGATTTATGAGGAAAACAATTAATTTAATCCATTTTAGAATAAGGCTGTTATTTGATTTTAATTACATGTACTTATCTAGTAGTCTAGACTGTTATTGTATAAGACTGTTTATGTAAAATACCAAAAACACACCGTGAGAAGAAGAAGAGAAACCTTACCATATGTTATCAAAATTTACAATTTATCCCAAAGTATAATATCTTGCAAATTGAGATATTTTGCATATCACAGTAATGCCACTTACATAGTAAACTGTATTTATAAGAAGGTAGTCCACTAGATGTTGTTGGCACTCACCCTCATTCATGTAAAATGCCAACAAAACTCTAGAAAACAGTGCAATGCTAAAGTAACTTGTTTCCCTCTAATACCCAACCAAGAGTCCTCTTGGGGTAGCGAAAACCTTTTCAATAATTTTTTTTTATTTCTACTGCAGCAGAGAGAGAGAGTCCCCTAGGTAAGTTTAAGAGCTACTTTTCTATTGGCTTCGCTCTAATAGGTCAGTATATCACTGCCAATGAATCCTGTCAGTTTTATCACCACTGAACCAAGGCACTACAGATAAAAACAAGACTTTGTATACCCCCACATCTCCCTGCTGGTTTCACAGAATAGCCATGCTTGATCAGTTTGTTACCCTAGCCACCCCCAGCCGTCCTTTCACCATCACCCTCCTTCTGTTTTCTCTTTCTCCTTTCGTCTACCCTTGTCTGTCTCTTTCTACACACACATTCACACATCCCAGGTTGTATATGAAATGACAGTGCAGCTGCTCCCCCTCCCTCCCTCCCTCCCTCCCTCCCTCCCTCCCTCCCTCCCTCCCTCCCCTCCCTCCCTCCCTCCCTCCCTCCCTCCCTCCTATCCAGGACCGTTTACCAGAGACTCTGTGATGAAAGGGCCAGACCCAGCCAGACACAGCGCGAGAGACAGCCCCAGCTCTAGGCTGGCCCCAGGGGCCCCATTGCTCCTCACAGCCCAAGATCAGCTCAGTGTGGGCGGCCCAACAAAGGGAGGAAGCCAAAGATTGGGAAAGAAAGCCCAGGGGAACGAGGAGCTCTCAGCGAGAGTCAGAGTGAGGAGACATGGAGGAGCTCACTCCTCTCCTGATCTCCAGCCCTTCTATCTCTCTTCTTCTTCTCGCTCTCCTCTCTCTCTCTCTCTCTCTCTCTTCTCTCTCTCTCTCTCTCTCTCGCTCTCTCTCTGCTCCATCAACCCACCTCACATCATCTCCTTCTATCCTCTCTCCTCCTCTGTTTCTCTCTCTTCTTTCCCTTACCGCAACATAGCAACCCAAAAACCTTTCCCCAAATTCAAAATTTCTCATAAAAGCCCCCCCCATCTGTTTATCTTGCATAATAACATCAGTAAAATAGTCAAACATAATGAAATATCCTTTGAATGCTTGGAGCAAATTCCCAAAAGTGCCCACAAATTCAGGTTTTTAATGCAATAAATCATGGGAAAAATTCCCCTTCCCAAAATAATGCGGAGGTGAATGCTGAATCAAAAGTGGCCACATTCCAGCGTTTTTAAGTGCAGACTATATGCCTGAGGAACAAAGCACCACTTCCCAGTTTGCCCAAAATAATGCGGAGGATGACATATGCTGGGTGTCAATGGGAAGTCACAGTAACACAGCATCACGGTCACCAGCAACATGAGATGCTAATGTAATATTGGCTTGTCACTACGGACGTCTATCAGAATGACCAGCTAACCTTTACAGATGACAATCAATCGTTGTTGTTATTTAAATGATATATGAGAAAACACATTGCTAAGAGTAAATATATTTAGCATATATTTATTGTGTATATATCATTACCTTGGTCAAATCTATGTTTATGTTATGGTAACAGAATATATTACCTCTACAGTGGAGTGGATGAATCAGTTAATTAATCTGATTGGTTTTTAAACTGTTAACCACCACATATAGCATATACACCACTACTAACAGCCACATACAGTCGCTGACTCTATAACATATCTAAGATGTAATAAAGTTTGACCAGTAGACTGTAGCCGTATGGGCGCCATAGCCATAGCTCCATACACACACACACACACACACACACACACACACACACACACACACACACACTTAATTAATCTGCCTTAGAGTTGACACTGGACAGCCACACAGGGCTTAACTGAACCTCTAGCTGGCTGGCTGGAGGTAGACATGCTTCATGTCCAGTGTAGACTCCGTGACCTGCGTCTCATTTAGAAACAACTACCATACGGACACTGACCAGAGCATGGAAAATAATTGAGGCATTGATAGATGTACAAAGTCATCAGCAGGTGTCTGGAAACAGAATGTAACTATGTAAATTATGAGTAAGAAGTAGTTATAATGTAGCACCATAAATGAGAGAAGCATGGTGGGTGTGTGGGTGTTCACATTGATTTTCAGGATGGAACGCATTTTCTCCAAGTTGATATTTTCAGACCAGCTCAGTGCCCTTGTGGTTATGAAGAATGAATTTTCACAACTTTGATATTTTGTGTTTATGAACCTTTAAACCCACGGCTATAGACAGACACTATAGGGCGCATCCCAAATGGCACCCTATTCCCTATAGTACACTACTTGAGCCCTATAGGCTGCAGTCAAAAGTGCATTATATAGATAATAGGCTGCCATTTGGGACACACACAACTTTCTCACAAAGTTGCAATACTGCTGCACCTGCAGCAATGGAAGAAGATGTCCTTTGACTCTAAAGTCAGAAGGAATACAGCCTGTTGGACACAGCGGCCATTTTGTACATACTGTACCATCAATCGACTGACAGGGATATAGCCTCAGGCATAGAGCTCTTCTGCCTCAGTTGTTCAGAATGTAATGCACCATTTGGAGGGTTCGAAGAGTGAACATCAGGTAAAAGAAAGATAAGACTTGGACACGAGACAGCATACAGAGTTCAAAAGGACATTACTTTATTCTTGGTCAGGCAACCACCATCTCAATCAGTTTATGTGACAGACGGGAATTAATAGACACAGGTCAGGCATTTCTAATCAATGATCTCCAACTCCAATTTCAACTTTTACAAGAATAAGACCACACAGCAGAACAGTAGTGATTCATTTACACCACACTTCTATCTACATACATCTAATCTCTCACGTGGACAGATGCATGTAACATAAATGGTATCGTGGCGTCTGTCAACAGACTGTGGGAAGCAACAACTAACAAAGGAAACATTGTCCTGGTGTGCTGGTTTTTCATCACTGACCATTTGGACAAATCCTCAGATGCAACTAGGCAAGATTTTAGCTCTGGGTTTCCGAGATTAAGTAAGCGAAATACACATCCCAAAAAACTGTCTGGGGAATCGACTAGGCTGCAGTCAAGGTAACTCGAAAAATATCTTCTTATATTTAGAGTGGAACATAAACACTAATATTGTGCTGGAGATAATGAATATGAGGGTAAAAAGTGGTGAAGTGTCCCTTTAAACTGATTTCTAATATGAGATCTGATCTCTATATAAACTGTTAAAATAAATGGGACCACCTGATGGTTGTGAGATGGACCTGGGTCTCTGTGACGTTAAATAATTGAGTTGAGTGAAACTATAATTTATGGACAATCAATGGACAAGGACGAGTGGAGGGAGAGGGGGGTAGAAGTGGAGGAGAAGGGGTAGAGGGAGGTGGGGCAGAGGAGGGGGTAGAGGGTGGTAGAGGCAGGAGAGGGGCATACGGGGGGGTAGAGCGGAGGCAAGAGTGGGGGGGTGGGGGTGGTGTTTCAGGGGATCTAATCTAGGAGTTATGAATGATTTAACAGGGTGATGAGATGACTGGAATGACAATATATCTGATATCGCTAACTGGTAGCCAAATACATTTACTCAGGCTTTGGACACATTTAAAGGACTAAATGCCACACTGTTAAAAGAAAGAGTAAGGTGACTGTCTGATTAATTAAGATGAAAACATAGCCGTGTTAAAGTCCTCAAATTAAATCCCTGTGATTTATCCCACACCTCTTCTTTTCCTCTCCAATTATGTGTTCCTCTTCCCACCATCAGGCCCTCTATCTTTAATTAGTACCAGGGGAAAGAGAGAACAGGGAACGAGGGATGAGTGGATGAGTGGCCTGTCAGTTTCACTTTCATTATTTATTTATCTATCTGACGTGTAAGCTGACTCGTCCGCATAGTGACAGCCTGTATCCCAAATAGCACCCTATTCCTATGGGCCCTATATAGTGCACTATATAGGGAATAGGGTGCCATTTGGGACGCAGACCTGGTGTATGATATCGACTCATTTTACTTTCCTTTGGCGAAGACCGACGGCAGCATACTGCCACTTGTCATTTGGCTATGGCTTGTGGGAATGCAAATATTAGTAGCTGTGATTTTAAAGTGTAAATGGTGATTTTAAAGCATGACTTCTCTTTAATGAGGGAATATATTTTCTTAGTTCTATATTTTGCTGCCGTGTTGCTGCGGCCCATAGATACAGGGAAATGTGATGTGAATTGAAAGTGACCGATGATGTATAGCAAAGGTGAAAGTGAGTCAATTAGTGATTCTGAGGCAATGGTCAATGGAGATGTGTTGCTCGGACAAACAAACATACATGCACGCACGCACACGCACACCCACATGCACACACTCTCTCTCTCCTACCTGTCCATTCTTCTTCAGGTCGGCCCACATGCTGGTCCCATCTCCGCCCCTCATCAGAACATGGTAGGTGAAGTAGTAGATACCTGGTAGAGGACAGGTGAACTTCCCAGTACTAGGCTCATAGTAGTTCCCTACATTGGTCACCTCATCATCAAACTTCAACACCTCGCTGCCCTCGTGCTGTTTCCTTAGCCCTGCATAGAAGGCAATCTTGGGGCTGTAGAAGGAGGGGACGTAACCATTAGGTCCAGGGCCGGGAGGCCCCTGTGGGCCTGGCTTGCCTGGTTCCCCAGGGGGCCCTCGGGCACCTGGAGGACCAGAGATCCCAGGGACCCCGCTGTACCCCGTTTTCTTCCGTCCAGGGTAGTCCGGTTGGGGGGACACGGCTGTCAGCTCCTGGCCTGGTTGGGCAGTACTATATGGGTCACAGACCATTCTGCAGCTCCCCAGCATCTCATAATGGGTCCCCCCTCCGCCACTTCCTGGGTTAGCTCCTCCCCCTTTGGTGGTGTGGACCAATAGGGGGATGGCGATCAGGAGGAGTAGGACCATGGCCACGCCCACGGCGGCTCCGATGACACACTTCCAGCGGCTGAGACGAGAGGAGGCCAGGGTCAGAAAGTCCTCCTCCCCTTTAGACGGAATGGTGCCGGGTGCCAGGGTGGAACTATAGAGAGACAGAATATGAAAGAGTGGAAGGAGGGATGGGTGGATGAAAGACTAGAAGGAGTGTATGGAGAGGTTTGGCTGCTGTATGAATGCGGTGCTCTTAGACTAGGAGAACAGGCATCAGCAGCCAATAGAGAGGGTCCGTTGAGACACCATGAGTAGAATGTGGGCGAGAAAAGGAAGATAGCGGACGGAGAGATCAATGACAAAGGGAAGAGAGGAACAACAAGGGAGAGGGGGATGACGACGGGAAGGGGTGGTGAAGGAGCAGGATTTAACTCTTTTAAAATCAGTGATCAGACAACACTGTGTTGTAGTTGTTCTGGACAAAGATCTGGTTTGGATTGTGTTGGATAGGTTAGAGAAAACATCATTTATTTCATTTAGCCTCTTTCACCCGTTTTTTCCAGTTCTTGTCTTCCAGAGTTCTTCTTCGCTTTGATCAAATTCCTTCTCTTTTCTGTGCATCAAACATCAACCAAACCCAGCTCAAGAGAGGGTACAATAGTTAACTTATGACATCAGAACTTATCCAGAGCTCACTGATTCGATATCAGGTGCCAAATTCAGCTAATTATGTACTGTAGTTGGCAATTGTGGTTTGTTTAATAAAGAGTAATTCACAGTCTCTTCTTCAATAGAACACTTCTGCTTTCCTTAATGTCCCCCTAAGAAGGACAGAATCTCACCTAATAGAGGTGTCTCTGAACTAAATGTGTCATGACTGAGAGGGAAAAGATGGGAAGAGAAGGAAAAAATAAAGTCGATGTATTCAGAGTTCCCTTCCTGTCATAATCATTTTAGTCCTCTGTGTTTATAGGGTGGTAGTGGTATTATAGGGTGTCCTAGTCTAATTGGAGGGTGCCGGGGAGAGGAAGCAATAATATCTTTATTTTGTGATCCAAGGTATATCCCTCTATTCTGGGACTCACAAAGTCTGTGGAAAGATGAAGAACAAAAATACATTCATATAGTGTTTCTATTGGTTGAGCTTTTTTTTAATTATCCCATCCAATGAATATAATTATCCACCCTAAAAATCTAAAGTCCTTGAGGTTTGACACTGACCCCTCTCATTTAAAACAACTGGTATTTTCTACATGGAGGACACTGTTTTATTTTCGGTCCTCTTTTCAGATGTTATAAGATAAATGCACAAATAAGGCAATTATTGAAATCGTTTATGAGATCTTACTGGGTCAAAATCCAATTAATCTGACAAAATGTAGTTTTATATTCATCCAAAGCAATCCCTACATATATAACTAACAGCATTTTTTAAGGAATTTAATTCATTTCCAATTATCAAATGTTATTTGTTATATACTTATTTATCGAATTATTATTAGCTTATAGGTAGCCTACAGTATTTCTCTTCGTTTTTATCACTGTTCAAACATGTCTCACTCTCTCCATGACAAATCTGGGGAACCGACACATAAAATCGAAAAGCATGCACCGCACCGTATTTTTACTCACTTTCTGTCTTCCTACTATAGTGAAACTGGAGTCAAGAAGATTTCTCCACCAGGCGTCTTTGAATCGAGTCTATCCAGGTACGAATCCTCCTCGTGCGATGACACTCAGCGAGGAACTTCGCGTGCCAAATGAATAGCCGAAGGCGCGCGCACTTTTTAAGCAGGAGATGCCCGGAAAGTGAAGTGAAGGAATAAGAAATCACTTCTTCTCACCACCACCTCTACGGTAATTTCCCGTTTCGACTGAGATCAGTACAGCCAGGTTACTTATAAAGTCCAACATAGATCTCCATAAATTAGGGAAATAACCAACCCGAAGTTGCTAGAAATGTTTTTGTCGCCTTTGTTAGCTTGTCCAAGTTGCTGTTCAGTGTTGAACATTGAGCAACCTTGTGTTTATAAAAACCTAGTTACTTTGAGGAACTGATGTTTTCTATCCATCAAACCACGTTGAAAAAGCTTCCAATCCCTCCATGTGTAGGCAACACCTGTAAGATCTCTCTCTCTCTCTCTCTCTCTCTCCTCTCTCTCTCTCTCTCTCTCTCTCTCTCTCTCTCTCTCTCTCTATCCTTATGTTTTTTATTGCAGGCATTGTGTTACAAAATATAGCCTTTGGGCTATTATAAGGGGGAAATAATTACATGTATTTTGTATGGAAGCCCATTCCCACCACCAATTATTATTTTTTATGTCAATACTATCTAAAAATGTCAAGAAATTAAGTCCACATTTTGAGAGACACTATATATACAAAAGTATGTGGACACCCCTTCAAATTAGTGGCTTCGGCTATTTCAGCCACACACCCTTGCTGACAGGTGTATAAAATCGAGCACACAACCATGCAATCTCCATAGACAAACATTGGCAGTAGAATGGCCTTACTGAAGAGCTCAGTGACTTTCAACGTGGCAACCGTCATAGGATGCCACCTTTCCAACAAGTCAGTTTGTCAAATTTCTGTCCTGCTAGAGCTGCCCCAGTCAACTGTAAGTGCTGTTATTGTCAAGTGGAAACGTCTAGGAGCAACAACGGCTCAGCCGTGAAGTGGTAGGCCACGCAAGAACTGTTCGTCGGGAGCTTCATGAAATGGGTTTCCATGGTCTAGCAGCCGCACACATCGGCTGGAGTGGTGTAAAGCTCACCGCCATTGGACTCTGGAGCAGTGGAAACGCGTTCTCTGGAGTGATGAATCATGCTTCACCATCTGGCAGTCCGATGCGAAATCTGGGTTTGGCGGATGCCAGGAGAACGCTACCTGCCCAAATGCATAGTGCCAACTGTCAAGTTTGGTGGAGGAGGAATAATGGTCTGGGGCTGTTCTTCATGGTTCGGGCTAGGCTCTGTGGTGGAAATTCTAACCAGAAAGGAAGAGAGACTGCAGATTCTTCAAAACCAACTTATTTTATTATAACAATTGCAATTCTGGAGCGGTTAACAATCACACAGGTGCAGAGTTAAGAGCCCAACGAAGAAGAGTTGGGTCACAGTTTTTATGAGAAAAAGTAAAAAAGAGACAGTCACATAGACAAAGGGGAAGTGTTCTAGCAGTGGGAGCAAGTCTCATTAGTACATCATATTACTTTAGTTAAATGCATAGATACACTGGATAAACATTATAACAGACTTTAATTAAATGCATAGATACACTAGATAAACATTATTACAGCAATTTTTGCCACCATAGCCCCTTAGTTCCAGTGAAGGGAAATCTTAACACTACAGCATACAATGACATTCTAGACGATTCTGTGCTTCCAACATTGTGGCAACAGTTTGGGGAAGGCCCTTTCCTGTTTCAGCATGACAATGCCTCCATGCAAAAAGCGAGGATCATACAGAAATAATTTGTTGAGATCTGTGTGGAACAACTTGACTAGCCTGCACAAAGCCCTGACCTCAACCCCATCAAACACCTTTGGGATGAATTGGAACGCAGACTGCGAGCCAGGCCTAATCGCCCAACATCAGTGCCCGACCTCACTAATGCTCTTGTGGCTGAATGTCCCCACAGCAATTTTCCAACATCTAGTGGAAAGCCTTCCCAGAAAAGTGGAGGCTCTTATAGCAGCAAAGGGGGGACCAACTCCATATTAATGCCCATGATTTTGGAATGCGATGTTCGACGAGCAGGTGTCCACATACTTTTAGTCATGTAGTGTATGTCAGCAAGTCCCCGCAGCAATGTTCCAACAGTGGACGCTTCGTTAAAAGAAAACTAGAAAACAACTGCGATGGACAATAGAACTAACCCTGCATAAATCAAGCTCAGCCCTGTTAGTTCTATTTTCCAATCACAGTTGTTGTCTATTATAATTATTTTACTATGTGACCTGATTAGAAAAAATCTGGTCCCATCATAGCCCATATAAAACCGTTTTACATCTGATTTATTACTATGTCATACCCTGGGTTTGGAGTTTTACCTGGTTAGGTTAGCCTAACAGATCAGGGAAAACTCGGGGCCCCAGGAAAACACTCCTGTGGTACCACCTCTGAAATCACCACAAAATGTTACAAATGAAGAAACATATCCTATAAGTATAAGTTAAATTTGTACTTACAGTACCAGTCAAAAGTTTGTACACACCTACTCATTCAAGGGTTTTTCTTTATTTTCACAATTTTTTACATTGTAGAATAATAGTGAAGACATCAAAACTATGAAATAACACATTTGGAATAATGTAGTAACCAAAAAAGTGTTAAACAAATACAAACATATTTTATATTTGAGATTCTTCAAATAGCCACCCTTTGCCTTGATGACAGCTTTGCACACTCATGGCATTCTCTCAACCAGCGTCACCTGGAATGCTTTTCCAAAAGTCTTGAAGGAGTTCCCACATATGCTTAGCACTTGTTGGCTGCTTTTCCTTCACTCTGTCGTCCAACTCATCCCAAACCATCTCAATTGGGTTGAGGTCGGGGGATTGTGGAGGCCAGGTCATCTGATGCAGCTCTCCATCACTCTCCTTCTTTGTAAAATAGTCCTTACACAGCCTGGAGGTGTGTTGGATCATTGTCCTGTTGAAAAACAAATGATAATCCCACTAAACCCAAACCAAATGGGATGGCTTATCGCTGCAGAATGCTGTGGTAGTCATGCTGGTTAAGTGTGCCTTGAATTCTAAATAAATCACAGACAGTGTTACCAGCAATGCACCCCCACACCATAACACCTCCTCCTCCATGCTTTACGGTGGGAACTACACATGCAGAGATCATCCGTTGACCCACACCACGTCTCACAAAGACACAGCGGTTTGAAACAAAAATCTCAAATTTGGACTCATTTCCACCGGTCTAATCCATTGCTCGTGTTTCTTGGCCCAAGCAGGTCTCTTCTTCTTATTGGTGTCCTTTAGTAGTGGTTTCTTTGCAGCAATTCAACCATGGCCTGATTCACACAGTCCCCTCTGAACAGTTAAACACGTCCACACACATACACGCACACACACACACACACACACACACACACGCCTAGACTGTCGTCTGTCTGTGTGAGTCGCTTTCCCTCGCTATCAGGCCTCATTAGGAAGAGATACAGTGGGGGAAAAAAGTATTTAGTCAGCCACCAATTGTGCAAGTTCTCCCACTTAAAAAGATGAGAGAGGCCTGTAATTTTCATCATAGGTACACGTCAACTATGACATACAAAATGAGAAAAAAAAATCCAGAAAATCACATTGTAGGATTTTTAATGAATTTATTTGCAAATTATGGTGGAAAATAAGTATTTGGTCAATAACAAAAGTTTCTCAATACTTTGTTATATACCCTTTGTTGGCAATGACACAGGTCAAACGTTTTCTGTTAGTCTTCACAAGGTTTTCACACACTGTTGCTGGTATTTTGGCCCATTCCTCCATGCAGATCTCCTCTAGAGCAGTGATGTTTTGGGGCTGTCGCTGGGCAACACGGACTTTCAACTCCCTCCAAAGATTTTCTATGGGGTTGAGATCAGGAGACTGGCTAGGCCACTCCAGGACCTTGAAATGCTTCTTACGAAGCCACTCCTTCATTGCCCGGGCGGTGTGTTTGGGATCATTGTCATGCTGAAAGACCCAGCCACGTTTCATCTTCAATGCCCTTGCTGATGGAAGGAGGTTTTCACTCAAAATCTCACGATACATGGCCCCATTCATTCGTTCCTTTACACGGATCAGTCGTCCTGGTCCCTTTGCAGAAAAACAGCCCCAAAGCATGATGTTTCCACCCCCATGCTTCACAGTAGGTATGGTGTTCTTTGGATGCAACTCAGCATTCTTTGTCCTCCAAACACGACGAGTTGAGTTTTTACCAAAAAGTTATATTTTGGTTTCATCTGACCATATGACATTCTCCCAATCCTCTTCTGGATCATCCAAATGCACTCTAGCAAACTTCAGACGGGCCTGGACATGTACTGGCTTAAGCAGGGGGACACGTCTTGCACTGCAGGATTTGAGTCCCTGGCGGCGTAGTGTGTTACTGATGGTAGGCTTTGTTACTTTGGTCCCAGCTCTCTGCAGGTCATTCACTAGGTCCCCCCGTGTGGTTCTGGGATTTTTGCTCACCGTTCTTGTGATCATTTTGACCCTACGGGGTGAGATCTTGCGTGGAGCCCCAGATCGAGGGAGATTATCAGTGGTCTTGTATGTCTTCCATTTCCTAATAATTGCTCCCACAGTTGATTTCTTCAAACCAAGCTGCTTACCTATTGCAGATTCAGTCTTCCCAGCCTGGTGCAGGTCTACAATTTTGTTTCTGGTGTCCTTTGTCAGCTCTTTGGTCTTGGCCATAGTGGAGTTTGGAGTGTGACTGTTTGAGGTTGTGGACAGGTGTCTTTTATACTAATAACAAGTTCAAACAGATGCCATTAATACAGGTAACGAGTGGAGGACAGAGGAGCCTCTTAAAGAAGAAGTTACAAGTCTGTGAGAGCCAGAAATCTTGCTTGTTTGTAGGTGACCAAATACTTATTTTCCACCATAATTTGCAAATAAATTCATAAATAATCCTACAATGTGATTTTCTGGAGAAAAAAATTCTCAATTTGTCTTTCATAGTTGACGTGTACCTATGATGAAAATTACAGGCCTCTCTCATCTTTTTAAGTGGGAGAACTTGCACAAATAGTGGCTGACTAAATACTTTTTTCCCCCACTGTACTGAGCCACTCAGAGAACTGTTCTTCTTCTCTTACACACACATACACACATACACATACACACACACACACACACACACACACACACACACACACACACACACACACACACACACACACACACACACACA